CTGTTATTTGTAAATATTTGACCCAATATTTTTGTTGAAAGGGTTTCTGAAATCCAGTGGGAGTTTGTGGGTACTCTGCTCTTGAAAATTAAGCAGTATATATAGGTGATTAAATAGGGACTTTTAAGAAGATTATCTGTATGCATCTGTTTTTCAAAAATCTTGAATTTAGTTTATAGCTTTTGCTGGACTTGACAATTTACCTGTATAGGTCTGGGTCAAAAATGCAACACCTAGCTTTTAGGTGCCTTGCCACTCAGTGGAACCCTCATCAGAACAGTCATGCTGGGACGGACCAAAGGTCGAGCTAGTCCAGAATCCTGTGTTCTGACAGCAGTTAACGTCAGATGTTTCAGCACTAAATGAGACTTCAAGTGGGATGCATGGGGTTGTGTCTTCAGCAAAGGCTCGGAGCAGCTCATTACCTGTGGAGCTGGTGCCAGCACTTAGGCAGATTTGTGTGTGCTCATTGGTAAAAATGTACGTGCCTGAAGGTTTAGGAAGCAGCTGAGTGCTGGTTTAGAGAATGTCAAAGGTGCCTAAATGGAGAACTTTGGTGTCCAACCCTAATTCCCCTTCCCCCCATCACTGTATGTTTGCTGTCCAATAAATAAGGCCCCGATCTCACAAAGACTTGAGTACAGTAACTCTGGCAACAGTAAGAAATTCCACTGACGTCAAAGAGGCTACTTATGGCATAAAATGTTAAGCTTGTGCACCTCTCTTTGCAAGATTGAGGCCTGAGGTGGTAATTACAAAGGGGGACAAAGAGTGACATATTCTCATTTACTATTCTGGTGCAGTCCCTTAGCCTGCAGTGAAGTTGTTCACTGTATACGAGAAAGGACCTGTTCAGCAATGTTTTAGCCTCTAATAATTGCCACATTTGCCAACCTATGATAGATTTTGGAAGGAGATGCTGGTTGTGATAAATTTCAGCTAAAATTTCTTACGTGTGCAATTCAACTAAGGGTGAAGGTAAGAAGGAATTATTTAAATATATCAAGAACAAATGAAATTCTAGCCGTTGTATAGTTACCATACTAGAAAGGACGGTAAAATCACCAGTCATAATGCAGAAAAGGCAGAAGTGTAGAGTAAATGTTTCTGTGTTATATTTAGAAAAAAAAGCCGATATAGTCTGCTTCCCTTGATAATGAAATACTTCCTATTCAGTGAGTAACTAGGGAGGATGTTAAACAGCAACTATTAAATCTCAACACTTCATATTGTTGATATCTGAACTGGATATCTTGTGTCCAAAAGCAATAAAAGAATTGGCAGAGGAGATCTCTCAACTATTCATGTTTTTCACATTGACTTCTAACTAATGCCAGCTCTTGCCCAGGCTGCCAGCATTAGCTAAGAACTGACAACTTTGTAGCTGAAGCCCAGACCAGGTCACCTGACTGGTATTTCTACTCAAGATAGGCATTGGTCTTACCAAAATGTATTTAGTGTTTGGACTTTCTGAAATGTTTGTGTGTCACTTATCTGTATCCCATGTAATAAGACAGTGGTCACCAACTGGTCGACCTCAATCAACTGGTTGATCCTGGGGAACATCTCAGTTGATCACAGTCTCTGGTAGTAGAATGGGGCTGATACTAAGGCAGGATCCATGTTTGCCCAACCCCACACTGCTTACCTGTTCCTGGAAGCTGCCAGCATGGGCCTACAGCCCGGGGGAGGTGGCAGGAGTATTGATGTGCTACTCCTGTCTGCAAGCATTGCCCCCTGCAGCTTTTGTTGGCTAGGAACGGGGAAATGTGGCCAATGGGAGCTGAGGGGGTGGAGCTGGCAGGGAAGGGCAGCTTGTGGAACCACATGTCCCTCTCCACCTCTGGAGCCACAGGGACACATTGGCCCCTTCTAGGAGTGGTGTGGAGACTAGATAGGCAGGGAGCCTGCCACAGCCTCACTGAGCCACCGATCCACAAACATCGGCAGTAAGTGTCCCCTAGCTGGAGACCACACACCAACCTCCAGTCCTCACTCAGAGCCAGCACAACATACTCCCTCCTGTACCCCAAATCCCAGCCCTGACTGCCCTTCTGAGCCAGCACCCAGACACTCTAGCACACCAATCCCCTGTCCCAGCCCTGACCACTCTCAAGAGCCCAGCACTCCACATCTCCTCCTGAAGCCCATCCCTGTCCTGACACCTCTCCGAGAGCTAGTACCCCAACCTCATTCTCTACCTCAAGTTCCAACTCTGAGACACCTCCCAGAGCCAGTACCATGTGCCCCAGCCTTGACCCCCCTCTCAGAGCCAGCACCCTGCACCTCTTCCTGCACCCCAAACCTCTGCCCCAGCCCGGGGAAAGTGAGGTTACGTCTACTCTACAGCGTTAATTCGAGTTAACTTAATTCAAAATAGTTAATTCGAATTAAGCTAATTCGAATTAACTCATCTACACACAAAACCTATTTCAAAATAGCGTTTTGCTATTTCGAAATAGCGCGTCCACACTGAGTGGACCCTGAACCGAAGTTAAGGCTGGCTGGAACCAGTGCCAGCAGGGCATCAGGGGCTGCTGCCTGAGGCTAACTGAGCTCCGTGCTTAAAGGGACCCTACCCCCACCCCAGACAGACAGTTCTCAGGGTTCCCTACTTGCTTGTCTACCTCGATGAGGGCAGCAAAGCAGTCCTGTCTTGGAGTGCCCTGAGTGCCCGAACTCGGGACACCACAGCACTCAGCCACATAGAGCCAGAGCT